ATTGCTTGAGCTCGGGAGGCGAAGATTGCAGTGAGCCGAATGCCCACTGCACTCAGCCCTGGGCGACAGAAGCGAGACCCGCCTCCAAAAAAAAAAAAAAAATTGAGATCGCGGGCGCGGTGGCCATATGCCTCTAAGACCAGCACTTTTGGGAGGCCAAGGCAGGCGGATACCCGAAGGTCAGGAGTTCGAGAACAGCCCTGTCCAACCTGTGAACGCTTCCTACTAAAAAAATTACAAAAATTAGCCAGGTGTTGGTGGGCATAACGCTGTATCCCCAGCTCTTGGGAGGCGTAGGGCAGGAGAAGCCTTGAGCTCGGGAGGCGCAAGATTGCGTGAGCCGGATCATGCCACCTGCACTCCAGCTGCCGACAGACGCAGACCTCTGTCTCCAAAAAAAAACAAAAAAAAGAAGAAAGAAAGGCAGAAGTACTGGCTCTGCTCGCCCAGGCTGGAGTTAGCAGTGGCAATTATCATAGTTCTCTGTAATCCCACCTCCAGTGCAAACAAATCCCCGACATCAGCCCCCTCCCTGAAGTTACCAGCTGAGACCTACCTGTTCCTGCCAACCATGCCCCAGTTAGTTTTTGTTGTTGTGGTAATTTTGTAGAACAGAGTCTCACTATGTTGGCCGGCTGGTCTCCAACTCCTGGTCAGTGAATTCTCCTGCCCCTTGAACTCCCAAGTGCGGGATTACAGGCGTGAGCCACCTGTGTCCAGCCTCAGCTTCCCAAAGTGCTGGGATTACAGGCGTGAGCCACCATGTCCAGCCTCAGCTTCCCAAAGTGCTGGGATTACAGGCGTGAGCCACTGTGTCCAGTCTCAGCTTGGGGTTTCTCAATCCATTGATCTGGGTTCTAGCAGCAAGGAAGGAAACCTCCTCCCGTTTAGAAGGGCAGAAGCTCCTTCCAGTGACTGCACTTCCACATGGTTACCTGGATACATCTGTGACCAAATCCTAGAGCTGCTACTGAGCATGTGCCGCGTGCGTGGTACTGCTGATCAATTTGGAAGCGACTGATTTGGCTTACCATGTCATTTTTATTGTTGACCTCATCACTGTCATCATTAAAAATTCCATGTCAGGCCAGGCGCAGTGGCTCACGCCTGTAATCCCAACACTTTGGGAAGCTGAGGCGGAGCAGATCACGAGGTCAGGAGTTCGAGACCAGCCTGGCCAACATGGTGAAACCCCATCTCTACTAAAAATACAAAAATTAGCGAGACGTGATGGCGGGCGCCTGTAATCCCAGCTACTCAGGAGGCTGAGGCAAGAGAATCACTTGAACCCGGAAGGCGGAGGCTACACTGAGCCAAGATTACGCCATTGCACTTCAGCCTGGGTGACAAAGCAAGACTCTGTCTCGGAAAAAAAAAAAACGTACATGCCAGGCATCTTATATTGTGGAAAGGGATTAGACTAAAGGGTGAACTCGAAATACAAGCTAACCTCACCCCACAAGTTATACCTACACCATCTTATTTAATCTTCCCACACAAAAAAAACAAGCCTACTAATATATATTAAGATCACAGGGGTGAATATTTAAACGGAATGAATAAATGGCCTGAGAGCACTAGAAAACTCTCTACCCATCCCAGGCTTCACTTTCAGTTCCTTAAAGGCAGAACAGCCTGAATGTCCAGGTGTCAGCATTATAGATGGTTATTTGTTCCTCTAGTAAACCTCACGGCTTAAGAACTACTTTCCATTGCTAACACACATACCCATCTCCAAACCTGCCAAAACCATCAGTATGCAGAACGACAGGCCTCATGGCTCAAGTTACGAAATCTACCAAATCCATTTTAGCACAGACAATATACTTGTCATCACGTCCTGAAGATCAGCTCAATGTCAATGGTGCCACATGGTTTACTGTCATCACTGTAGTCAGGATTAGACAGGCTGAGCAAATGGCCATTTTACAATTGATAAAAAACTTAAACTCTCCCCCAAAACTGACCATTTATAAAAGAGAAACCGGCCAGGTGCTGGTGGCTCATGCCTGTAATCCTAGCACTTTGGGAGGCTGAGGCGGGTGGATCACTTGAGGTCAGGATTTCGAGACAAGCCTGGCCAACATGGTGAAACCTTGCCTCTACTAAAAATACAAAAAATTAGCTGGGTGTGGTGGCGCACACCTGTAATCCCAGATACTCGGGAGGCTGAGGCAGGAGGATCACTGGAACCCGGGAGGCAGAGTTTGCAGTGAGTCGAGGGCATACCACTGCACTCCAGCCTGGCCAACAGAGCAAGACTCCGTCTAAAAAAAAAAAAAAAAAAAGAGAGAGAGAGAGAGAGAGAGAGAGAGAGAGAGAGAGAAACCAATCATTGGAATAATATTTTATGTACTATAACTTTCTCCTAAGAGTCACTAGTACTTGTGTATTTCTCACTAACTTTCTTTCTTGCACGTACTGTATTTTCATAAGGCTAAGTGCCAATGTTAAAGCAAAATAACTTGCTCACAGAAATCAATGAGTCAAAATTGGGATGAAGAAATTGATTTTGTATTTTTCAACCGAAGCCATTGTTGAATACAGTCCCTCAGGGACTTCTATTCCTAAAATAACTACAAAGACATAAGAGGGAAAGAAAGAAAACCTTCGACTGATCTTTTCTAGGGCCAAAAAGCTGCAAATAATAGCAGAGAGGGTTTGAAAAAGCAGAGAAGGGATACGCAAAATGTTGTAATGGAGGAGGAAGGAGATTTGCTGAGACTCATCAAAAATCCCCTGGGGTCTATACACATAACTCAGAGCTTAGAAAAACTAGCATTTTGCTTTCTTCTTTGAAAGTGTGGCCTAAAACTTTGTTATTTGTGTTATGTGGGGCTATTTTTATATATTGTTTTTAGGATATTACCAAAAGGAATCCTGAGCTCACTGCAGCCTCAGACTCCTGGGCTAAGTGGTCCTCTCGCCTCAGCCTCCCACATAGCCTGGTCTACAGGTGCACACTGCCATGCCCAGCTAGATTTGAACTCATGTTAATCAGAGTAGCAGATTCAGAGGGTGACTAAAGGAAACTGCCTATTTAACAAAAACTTTTGACTAAGCAGGATTTGTATCCCCTGACTCTCAACTTGACTTTTGAACAGCAGCCTCTTTATTAAAAAATAAAAAAATAAACGATGATGCTGATCCTGAAAAACAAAACAAAAAAACCTGGACACAGCTAAAATCAACCCACAAAAGCATCAGTTTCCTAGGGCTTGCAATTCCATGTGTGGTCCCTGGACCAGCAGCCTCTGCTAGAATGTGAAATCTTGGGCCCTGCCCCCACCCCACTAATCATAACCCATATTTCAACAAGCGCCGGGTGCCTCATGCACACTTAAGTCAGAGGAGCACTGCTCGAGGGCACTGCCTGCCTCCGCCACATCCAGAGTTAGTATCTGGATGATTACCTGGAGCCACCACAATACTGCCGAAGAAAAATCATGAAGGCCTTAGATGAAGACTTTTAATAAGGAAATTAAAAACAAAATGACATTCGGAGTTAAGTAAATTATACAAAAGGCAACATTTTCTTTGTTTGTTTTTTGGGATGGAGTCTTACTCTGTTGCCCAGGCTGGACTGCAATGGCGCGATCTCAGCTCACTGCAATCTCTGACTCCCAGATTCAAGCAATCCTCCTGCCTCAGCCTCCTGAGTAGCTGGGATTATAGGCACCCACCATCATACCCGGCTAATTTTTGTATTTTTGTAGAGACGGGCTATCACCATGTTGCCCAGGCTGGTCTTGAACTCCTGACCTCAGGTGATTCGCCTACCTTGGTCTCCCATAGTGCTGGGATTACAGGTGTGAACCACCATGCCTGGCCAAAAGGCACCATTTTTAAAGCAGTCTACTTGACTACAGTACCACTAAGCTGCAAAAGAAATCTTCATAAATGCCTGTCATCACAATGGATGCCCTACATGCATTCACATAACACTGCATACTGCAAGGGCATCATAATGGATGCCCTACATCACATAACACTGCATACTGCAAAACTCAACTCTTTACATTGGGTCTCTGAAGAACCTCCCAGAGGAGCAGCCCATAATGACACATGCTTTACATGTGATTCTACTTCAGGATTTTTATGATGAGATACTAGTGAGGAATTACCTTCAGTTAAAAAGAAAACCTGTTCTCTGCCAATACAAATGGTTTATTATATCATACTTCCTTACCATATTACAAGATGCTTACTGAACAAATGATCTATGTCCATCACACTCCCTTCCCCCAAAAAAGGTTGGAAATCTGGTGACCCACGCTGAAAAAGGAAGTAACTAGAAGGAAGAAATCCAGTGGCAACAGGTGGGAGCATCTACTGAAGAGCAGCCTATAAAAAAGACCACGTTCATGCAGTTTGCTTCTGCGTATTCTTCTAATAATCTTGGACGCCCCATCAGGTTCCATCCCAACTAACACACGTTCACGAGAATGTACACACGGACACACATACACTCAGTAACTGCAACACTTACTATTCTCAGGCTAAATCTTCCTCTATAATTAGAAAATCATTCCCCAAAGAAACAAACAAAAAACCCAAAATATAGTTTAGACCAGTTCACTGTTGCCCCAAAAACAACGTAATGTCATTAAGCCGTCATGTCACGCTGATCAAAACAAATGATCTGCTACGTGGCGAATGGAAAGAAATACACCAGTTTATAACCATGGACAGGCCCGGCACCCTGGGCTTTCCATCTGCTGCTGAGCTCTGGAGGATGCCCCGTGCTGATTATTCATGGAGAAAAAGTATCCCTGATGTCGCCTGCCCACCCATAAAGGCTCATGAGGACCAAGGTAAACAAGGGCCAGCTGAGAGATTCCAAGGCCAGCACCCCTAGGTTTTAAATAACATAGGCAAACATTTCAAAGTGGCATCATGGGCTTGCAACTATGGAGAAAAATGTACAGGAAAAACCCTCACCAAGGACCCCACACACATAATAAAGAAACATCAACCACAACAAAGGAACCCAGACTCACGTGAGAGGAATAGCGTTTGGTTTTGATTGTCTTCTGCTTTTCAGGGCCCGAAGTCTATCACCTTGTGTCACTCCATCGATTTCGTCGTCGTCACTGTACTGTGTAAGTAAAAAAAACACTGAGCTAATGGTTTAAATTGCACTTATTAACGCAGTAAAGCAGAGCAGCAATTTATCCACATAAACACAGACAGTCCACGTTTCTGCAAACTCTAAAATATTTTTCCCTTTCACACTCAAGCTACAGATCACATTTTAAGACAGCCAAAGTTGACTTTCAGAGACAGCCCAGCACTCATCATAGAACGTATCAACAGTGAAGACGGTTAATGGGCTTTCACATTTGAAAACATTCTTTTTAAAATCTCACAGTGTACTTACTACCACTTAATGTGGTACTGCTGCCCCCTAAGCCCTTGATTTGCTAAAAGCTCTCCATTTGAGACTGATTGCCTTTCTAAATCGGCTGTTGTGAAATGGCAAAAAGGGGTGAGGGGCAGGGGTAGATCTGGCTAAAGAGCTCACTTCACAACCTTTTATGCACCTGCCGAGTTATAGTTTATGGACGCACAACCTCGTTTCCACTATTTTGGGTAAAAAGTGCCTAGAGAGGGTTATAAATATAAAAAACTGACAATCATCCAAGAACTGCTTTATTATTTTACCTTCAGATTTCTCCATGCCCTGACAAGGTTTCAACAGCAGTTAAAGCAGTAACAACATCTCAACAGAAACAGCTTCATTACCGGTTCGGGTTCTTGCTGGTCTTGATTCTCGACCCCATTTATGGAAATGTCATCAACGCCAGAGAGAAGTTTGGAGAAGGCTGCCCTGTGTTGTCCATTCTCCTGCCCCTTTAACTTCTGACGAAAATAGTCCCCTTCCAGCCAGAGGCTTGTTTGCTTCCTAGAGCATTTAAATAACATCAAAATAGAGCTTTCCAGAAAGACACATGAACAACTTCATCCTACCAGACTATCCGTTGTTACTGAAAACTAAGGGAAATTCCAGTCCCCATCAGATTCCAACCCCACTTGTTCCCTTGGAACTACAGACGTACGCTACTACTTACATCACCAAAAACTGCTGCTGAGGCCCAATCACCGAGCCAGGTCTGCAGATCCTGACCCATGCAATGGTCTCGGCTGCTGTCATCCTGTAATGCTTCATGATGTAGCATGCTATCAGAGTGCCCGTGCGACCAAGGCCAGCTAGGAAAAGAAAGAAGCACAGAAATGAAACTTGGGCTCATGTGCGCCAGGATTTTGTCGGGCAGGTAGAATTTTTGTAAAAGGCTTCTCATGACTCTGCTTCTCTCAACAGCAGTTCTCAAGGCTGGCTACACTCTGGAATCACCTAGGGAGGTTTTTAAATACTGATGCCTGGTCTCATGCCCAGAATGTATTTATTATTTGTTTCATTTAATTATTTATTTTTGAGATGGAGTCTCGCTCTGTCGCCCAACAGGCTGGAGAGAAATGATGTGATCTCGGCTCACTGCAACCTTCACCTCCCAGGCTCAAGCAATTCCTCTACCTCAACCTCCCAAGTAGCTAGGATTACAGGCGTGTGCCACCACACCTGGCTAATGTCTGTATTTTCAGTAGAGACAGGGTTTCACCATGTTGGCCAGGCTGGTCTCAAACTCACCTCACCTCAGGTGATCCGCCCACCTTGGCCTCCTAAAATGCTGGGATTATAGGCTTGAGCCACCACGCCTGGCTTTACGCCCAGAATTTAGATTTAACTGGTGTGCAGCATAGCTTGGACAGAGAGATTCCTAAAATCTGCCAGATGATTCTACATGTAGCCGAGGTGGAGAATCACTTTCTAAGCAATCATTCTAGTAAGTGCAGTGTCTTCTTCCCTGGGCATTTTAGAAAAATGGTACCACCATCTTTGCAAAAACAAAGGCTTGCAATTTTGCACTTACTCCCACATCCAATTATATTTTCTAGTTTGTTATATTATATTTTCACTCAGATTTTTTTAAACCTCTTTTGGTGTTGGCCTGTCTTATCTACACTATTATTACCTCCAGTGATGGTTAATTTTATGTGTCAATCCGGAATGAATCTTTGGAGATTAACATTTAAGTCGGTGAGCTTTCAGTAAGCACAGTTCCCTCCATAATGTGGATGGGCCCCATCCAATCACCTGAAAACCTGGGCAGAACAAAAACACTGACTTTCCTGAGCAAGAGACTGCCTTTGGCTTTCATCTGCCCCATCAGCTCTCCTGTGTTTCCAGGCTGCTGGCCCACACTGCATATTTTGGACTCAACCAGAATCTATATTTGCATAAGCCAATTCCTTTTAATAAATCTCCTACATATAAAAAAAATCCTACTGGCTTTGTTTTTCTGGAGAACCCTAAATAAAACAGATTTGGATTATGAGGTGGGTGTCACTGTAACAACTAAATAGAAATGGAGAAGTGGCTTTGTGGGTGACAACCTTGGATATTTAGCAGAGGAGATTTATAAGGAAAGTGTTGAAGATACAACCTGATTTCTTCTTAACTGGTTACAGTAAAATGCAAAAGGAAAAAGACAAATTAAAGAAGAAATTGTTAAGCAATAGGGAATCAGAGTCAGAAAATTCTCAGGCTATCCATATTGCAAAAAAATAAGAGTGTTACAGAGAGAAAAATCAAGGGTGTGGCTGAACACTCCCCCTCTAAAGAAATTCCCTAGACTTAATCAGCCGTCTCAGCAGAAGCCAGGAAGAGAGATGGGATTATACCAGTAGAGACACTGGCAACTTGCAGTGAAGGGGATGGACATGGAATAAAATAAAGTAAGGCTTTTGGACTTCTGAAAGCAGAGCTACCTGGATGCAAACATTCTTTGTTCTTCAAGAAAAGGAAGGATGATCCCAAGGGCAATTTAGAGATCCCCAGTGCTGCCACTGCCACCAAGACACAGAGTATATAAGCTCAGGGCAAGCCTGTCTACTCCTTGATTTCACAGGGTAGGGCCACCTCTGATAGTTACAGCTGCCTCTGACCACAGCCCTCAGGGGCAAAGCCACCACCCTAGAGGGCAAAGAGGGCGTGGAGGGCACAGCGTGGAGCCAAAGAGGATGATCCTCTAGCCTTAAGATGTAATGGGATTTGCCTGGCTAGGTTTTGGACTTGTCTAGAAGCGCTTTCTTCTGGTTTCTCCCTTTTGGAACGGGAATGTCTATCCAGTGCCTATAACATCACAGCTGGGAGGAATTATGTCTCAGGATGGATCATACCTCAAGTCTCCCCATACTTGAGTTGAATGCTATTTAGATGAGACTCTGAACTTGGAGTTGATGCCAGAATGAGTTGAGATGTTCAGAGCTGTTGAGATGGGGGTGAATGTATTTTTGAAGTGAAGGGACATAAATTTGAGGGGGGTCAGAGGGCAGAATATAATGAAGTGAATTGTGTCTCCCCTAATCTTAATCCGTATGTTGTTCTAACTCGCAGTACAACTATTTGGAGATAAGGCCTTTATGGAAGTAAATAAGGTCACAGAGTGGGGCCCTAATCCAATAGGACTGGGGTACTCCTAAGAAAAGAAAGAGATGAGCCAGGCACGGTGGCTCAAGCCTGTAATCCCAGCACTTTGGGAAGCCGAGGAGGGCGGATCATGAGGTCCGGAGATCGAGACCATCCTGGCTAACACAGTGAAACCCCGTCTCTACTAAAATTAGCCGGGTGTGGTGGTGGGCACCTGTAGTCCCAGTTACTCGGGAGGCTGAGGCAGGAGAAAGGCATGAACCCAGGAGGCAGAGCTTGCCATGAGCCGAGATTGCACCACTGCACTCCAGCCTGGGCAACAGAGTGAGATTCTGTCTCAAAAAAAAAAAAAAAAGAAAGAAAGAAAAAGAAACAGACGGCAGGAGTTAAGTGCAAACAGAGGACAAACCATGAGAAGACTCAGAGACAACAGCCATCTGCAAGCCGAGGAGAGAGGCCTTCCCAGAAAACAACCCTGCCAGTGCCTTGACCTTGGACTTCTAGCCCCCAGAACTGTGAGAGAATTAACTTCTGGTGTTTAAGCCACCCAGCCGGTGATATGCCCCAGCAGACTAATACACCTCTTAATGACTCTCAATTTTCACCGTACAGCCCAATTTTCATACTGTCATCATTTTTCCTCCCTAAACAAAGATGCAATCATACAAGAGCCTCTCTAGGCTTTTAATTGGTCATCATTCTATTTCAGGGTATCTCAACCTCAGCAGTACTGACATTTGAGGCTGGACAATTATTTATAGTGAGGGGCTATCCTGTACACTGTAGGATGTTTAGCAGCATCCCTGATCTCTACCTACCAGATGCCAGTAGTACTCAACCCTCAAAAAAGGTCTCCGCACATTGTCAAATGTCGGGTGTGTGATGGGGTTGGGATGCGAAAGGACCCTGGTGAAGAATAACTTCAACTGCTTTTTATAATTAAAAAATGAAATAAGCAGTGCTGGATTTTGTTTTAATTATGTTTAAAAATTGGAGTAAAATATACATAACATAAAATTTACCATTTTTCTTCATGTATCATTTTCCTGATTTCATTTAGTTGTCTGAATTCTCTTTTAGCTCACTGAACATGTTTAAGACAGTTATTTTAAATTCTGTATCAGTTAATTCAGAAACTTACATTTCCTTACTGTCAGTTTCTGACTATCAATTTAACCACTTTTTATGTGTCCAGTTCAGTAGCATTAAGTGCATTCACATTGTTGTACAAACATTACCACCATCCATCTTCAGAATGTATTTCATCTTGCAAAACGGAAACTCTGGACCCATTAAACAATAACTACCAATCCCTGCCTCCCCTCAGGCCCTGGCAACCACCATTCTACTTTCTCTTACCCCGAGTATCACATACAAGTGGATTCATACAGTATCTGCCCTTTTCTGACTAGCAGACCTAAGTTGGCCTGTTATCTTTAAGGTTCGGCCATGTTGCAGTACATGTGTCAGAATTTTCTTCATTTCTAAGGATGCAAAATATTCTGCTGTATGATATAGAACATTTTCTTTTTTTTTTTTGAGACAGAGTCTCGCTCTGTCGCCCAGGCTGGAGTGCAGTGGCCGGATCTCAGCTCACTGCAAGCTCCGCCTCCTGGGTTTACGCCATTCTCCTGCCTCAGCCTCCCCAGTAGTTGGGACTATAGGCGCCTGCCACCACGCCCGGCTAGTTTTTTGTATTTTTTTTTTTTAGTAGAGACAGGGTTTCACTGCGTTAGCCAGGATAGTCTTGAACTCCTGACCTAGTGATCCGCCCGTCTTGGCCTCCCAAAGTGCTGGGATTACAGGCTTGAGCCACCGCGCCCGGCCGATATAGCACATTTTCTTTAGCCATTTCTTTAGCCTTCCTCTGACGGAAACCTGGATTGCTTCCACCTTTTGGCTATTAAGAGTAATGCTGCTGGCTGGGTGCGGTGGCTCACACCTGTAATCTCAGAACTTTGGGAGGCTGAGGCGGGCGGACTGCTTGAGGTCAGGAGTTTGAGACCAGACTGGCCAACATGGTGAAACCCTGTCTCTACTAAAAATACAAAAACTAGTTGGATGTGGTGGTGCGTGCCTGTCATCCCAGCTACTGTGGAGGCTGAGGCAGGAGAATCACTTGAACCCAGGAGGCGGAGGCTGCAGTGAGCCGAGATTGCACTATTGCACTCCAGCCTGGGAAATAAGAGTGAAAATCCATCTCAAAAAAAAAAAGGAAGAAGAAGGAAAGAAGAGGAAGAGGAAGAGGAGGAGAAGAGGAAGGAAGAAGAAGGAAGAAGGAAGAAGGAAGAAGAAGAAGAAGAAGAAAGAAGAAAGAAGAAGAAAGAAGAAAGAAGAAGGCTGTTATAAACATGGGTGTAAAAATATCTGTTCATGTCCCTGCTGTCAATTGTTTCTGGGCATATAACCACCTATGCTGAATGACATTAATTTTTTCAGGAACTGCCACACCATTTTCCATAGCAGCTGTATTGTTTTATATTCCCACTAGCAGTACACAAGGCTTCTAATTTCTTCATATCCTCGCTAACACTTGTAATTTTCTGGTGGTGATGTGTTCTTTTAGATCATAGCCATCCCAATGGGTGTAAAGTGGTATCTCATTGTGGTTGTGATTTGACTTTCCCTACAAGTCAAAAATGCTAAGGATTTTGCATGTGCTTACTGGTCTTTTATATCTTTGGAGAAATGTGTATTCAAGTCCTTTTCCCATTTATGA